AATAAGTCTACGCAGGATCCTCATTTATCCGACTGTGGTGTCCACTCAGGGGCAGTGGCTCTCCGTCTCTGCTGTGTGTCAGAGACCCCAGAGGTTTGGACTGGGGAAGTCTGGGGGTCGGGGGGACTCCAGCTGGATCAGTGCCTGGATGGGAAGCTGCTATCACCAACCCAGGGCCACTTAACCTAGGGGTGCGGGTCACGGGGCAGGAGGCTGAGCCCCGGAAGGCGCCAGGCTCCCTGCTGTATAAAAGGACATCCTTGGGATAAAACCCCATGACATCCGCTGCCACAGAGCGATGAACCTGGTGGGCACCTGTGTGAAACCTAGTTCAGGTCCATGGGTGACTGCACTCCTCTCCTCCTCTGCTGTCTGAAGTTGTCTTTAAAAAAGCAGCTGGAGAACAAAACAGACAAAATGAAGACAAAAAGGAGAGTGGCTCCCACGAGGCTTTGGATGCTAGCTGACTATGTAACTTTTAAAGTAGATTTTATAAAGTAACCAGTACTAAATGGTCAAATGATCTAACACGCATCTAGGAGGATATTTTACACAGCACACAGGGTGGTCCACAAGAAGCCCAGCCTCAAAGGGGAAGTGATCCTCACATTCCGAGGGCTACAGAGAGTGCCTGGGGGTACTGCCAGAAGGCTCAGGGCTCCCCAAAGATGGACACCTATGCTGTGCGCAGAAGCCTGAGAAGGAGGGCCTTGTGAGTGGGCGTGGGTACTGAGTGATGATGTACAGAGTCATAACCCACAGGGTGGCGGGGCACTGACCTCTCTGCCTGCTGGGGTCAGTAGGCAGCTACTGTCTCTGATGCGGGAAGCCGTCAGCCCTCTATTCCTCAGATGCTCCCACCTGACAACCTGAAACTGTGGACCAGACCATTCTCCACTTCTGCTCTGGGGCTCTTGACCATCAGCCTGAGAAGACCACATACTTGCTACTAGCTCCACCAGAACTCTAAGACGCAGCTGAGTCTCAGTAATTTAGGGGCCTAAATGGTTGAGCTATAATCTTCTCAATGCTTTTAGGAACTGTCTCAAACTCTTATCCTGTTATGCATCAATTTCACTACATCATTTATCATCCCTAACTTTCCCCTAACAGTGCTTTAACTGTAGTGGTTTTCATCCTAGGAACTCAGAGCAGTTAAAAATTTACATGACCCTTCTGCATTCACGATAATGGAGGTAGGAAACAAATGAAATATGGAGTAATGGGGGGGGGGGGGGCTAAGAGCAGGGAGATACTGGCTGATTAGTTGATGACTGTGAATCTTTTGATTATTATTTTTTACCGAGGTACAGCTGATTTACAGTGCTGTGTTAGACTAGATCTTCAGCATGGTGATTGCGTTACACATCTATATATGTAGTCTTTTCCGGGTTCTTACAAAGAAGGTTCTTACACAATACTGAATGGAGTTCCCTGTGCTATACGGTAGGTCCCTGTTGGTGACATATAGTGGTGTGTGTATGTTAATGCCAACCTCCTCTTTTATCCCTCACCCCCCTCATTCCCTTTTTGTAACCATAACTTTGTTTTCTGTGTCTGTGAGTGTAAATATTTTTTTACAAAATCAAAGAAGCCAGGCCATATTTTAGATGGTAACTGTTCTCCATATTACAGTATATAATTTCTCATTAAGAAATTCTGTGTTTGTATAATCACATGCCTACAAAACTTATTCTTCCTCTGTATAAACGAAGACTCTCTCTTCTTTTATTGGAAGCACTAATAGTTCTGTGATATTTTCTCACCAGAAACAAAATCAACACAATCTTTTCCCCAGGGAGGCACCGCTCAGTTTTCACCCCCACGGCTCCTCCGGTGCCTTGGGCCCTGCCTAGAAGCCTGCCCAGTCTTCCCCGCTCATCTCGGCCGAGCGTCCCGAGTCAGGGTGCTCCCGGCCGCCCTGCACCCGGACAGGTCTGTGCAGGATGCTCACTCCCCGCTCCTTCACCTGCTGGCCCTTCAGCTTCTCATCCCCAGGGAGTCCAGAGCACTGACCTGCTGCGGCCTGCCTGAGCTCCAGAAACGCCTTCCTCTCCTCTCCTCTGCCTCAGCCCTTCACGACTGGCACCTGCAGGCTCTGTGAGGTCCCTTACTTCTGTTTCCAGCTCTGTGTGAAAGGCCTGGAAGCTCGCTGTAACCACACTGCGGGTGGGCAGCAGTGCGTGTCACTAAACATACCCAATTCTCCCTCTCCCGAGGCTGGGGCAGGCCGTAGGGCCCCTGGTCACTCCAGTGCTCGGGCCAAGGGAACACGGCTGCACTGCTGACCGGCCAGACAGGAGGGAGTGTGCAACCTGCCATGCCAGCTTCTTATCCCCATGGTTTTCAAGGTGTGTTTCCAGGACAGGCCCATGAGGGGCCGCGCCAAGCAGAGTGCCTGCCCACAAGTCAGACGTGTACACGAGCAGAGAGGAAACGTCTGGTGTGTGCCTTTCCACCTGACACTCCATCCCTCAATGTCCCCACAGACACTCACTCATAGGGCAGCTCTCTGAGTGGATGGTTAGGAAAAGTGTGGCTTCCCTGAAGAAGTCTGATGAAAGCCGAAGTGTTTCTCTGTTTAAGATCTAAACACTACACATTCTTTTCATTCAACACACATCAACTCACCCTAAATAAATCACATCAGCTAATTTTTGCCCACTATAGCATGCTTATAACATTTTCCTGAATTTTATTCTTATAAATCTAGCATTTAACACTTAGAAAGATTTAATGACCTATGCACATTGAGAGATTTTATTTCTCTCTTAAGATGATTCCTTGATTTATAAAACTGTTTCCATGTCAAGCTGGTGCTCCACCACTCAGAGTGTCTTTCGGGAGAAGCAGCCCCGCGCGGACAAGGCAGGTCCCACGCTGCAGCCCGTCGGCTCTGTCTGCTTGGGGGCCACCGTGCAGGCTCCTGACACCACATGCACAGCCTGTGAGAAGCTGGGAGCATTACGAGGGCCCCCCCCTGAAGGGCTGCAGCAAACGCTAGCCAAGCCCTGGGTAAGGTGCGGCCACAGAAGGGACACGTCTGCTCCCCGTGTAAGGCCAACAAGTGCCTGAGCGAGGGTCCGAGTCCAATCCTGCAGAACCCCCAAGATGCTTTTCCTAACCCCAAGGACACTGAGAAGGCTGTCTAAAACCAGGAGGAGGGGGAGAGGGGAGGACGCAGAGGAGGGGGGAGGGCAGACACGAGGCCTGACGGGGCGGGAGCTGTTGGGGGCATGTCCTGACTGGCAGCGGGGCTTGGGCACTCATTTTGACTTAACATTTCACCTCACAGAAAGGTAATAAGGAGAGGCAACGTCTATCGAGTGCCCAGAGGCAAAGAGCGGGTCAGAGGCAACACCCAGAGTCTAGCCCAGGCTGGCCAGCCTCCAGGGTCTTAACTGCGTCATAAACCCAGCAAAGGACACTGGCACCCAAGGGAACAGCTCACTGAGCCAACACCAAAGGTGACCTGAGAAAAGAAGTGACCGAGGGCAGACAGTGAGTGACAGAGGTGAGCTGCACTGAGGGGTAAGGGAGAATTAGAAAGCTGTATTAAAGCGTTTCAAGGCTTTAAAGTTAATATTTAAAACTAAATTTATCCTCAATTAGCATAATAAATGTAAAAGCAAAATGATTGAGGAAAAAACCCTAGAAATCATACATGCATTATTAGACATCCTAGATTCGCCTACTGAAGAAAAGAAAAACACCATACTACCCAGAAAACACACATAACTATGTATGTGATGCTGACTCCTGTCATTAGTATAATAATTTATTTTTAAATAATTTAACTCTATTGCAGAATTACTGACAGATATATCTGATTTGCTCAAATTAAGGCAAAGTTTGTAAAACTTTGTTTATATAAATCGACAGAGATTTATTTCTCCCCATTATCAAAATCAGAATTTCTACTAAAACAACAGTAGCACAACCTTTTTTTTTTACTTCTGTAAACATGTGCCAGGCAGACACCTGGAGCCCTCACAGACACAGAGACGTAAGCGCCATCGACCTCACTGGCAACTCCTGCCCTCCGTCATCGTCAGTCAGCAGCTCTGCGGACGGCCCAACCATTCAGAGAATCGGGGACACTTTGCTAGCCTCTGAAGGTTAACTATTTTTTAAAATAGTATTTAGCTGAAAAAATGAGACGCATCCTGTCCTAAAAGGTATTTCCTCAAAGAATGATTTCATTTCTATCACTTGGTTATAAAATTTCCTACAGAAGACAAGCTCTTCTGTTAATTACTCACAAAGCAGGCATGGCTCCATGAGAGGACTTTTTGTTCTACTCAGATACACAGAAGTTGTATTTCAAAGAACAATGAGTAAAATGCAGTAAGAAAGAGCTTGTCATTGAGCAGATATTAACACATATTATGACTTGATACAAAACATGTTACTTAAATAATAACTACTGAGAATTCAAACTAATTTTTTGTTATGATTTAACTTACACAATGACTACATAAATAACAATTTTAGGACTATAACAGAAATATAATTTTAGGAATATAATCTAGCAGTCTTTAAAACTAAAATCTAGTTTTCAACATACTTCTTCTGAAACAGAAATAACTTAAAACTACTTTAACAATACACTATCAAGTTAAATACCATAAAAACATTAATACAGATTCATTTTAAAAGTGAACCATCAACATAAAAATAGAGTGCAAATTATAAATATATTGAGGAGAAATTAAAAGACCCATAATTAACTGTTAAATTATGGGCAAATTATATATACAACAATGAAAATTTAAGAGACATATAAAACTCTTGATTAATCAAAGAAAAGTAGTTCTGAAAATTCTTCCAGACAAGCTTGCTGTTACACAGAGAATCCATGCCCCAGACCACCAACACAGGAAGCTCTGCTCCTATGACATGCATGAAGCTAACACGACCGAGCTGCCTGGAACCGCTTGTCCTCTCCCAGGGAAAGCAGAGGCCGCTCATGAAAGCAGTCAGTGCTCCATCTAACCTACCTTGTTTTTTGGATTTGATGTATTCATGACACTTCTAGTCTCTTTTCCAGTATAGATGACCACACCTATTACAGTACCTGCAAAACACAGAAGTGGCCCTTACAGAGAAACTTGAATGTTAAGCAGAGGTAACACCTCCTAGTAAAATATTAATGTACCATTTGATTCTATACATATTTATCTAATAGCATATTTAATTTTGGTAACTCAATAAAATCTAATCTTAACTTTAAAAACAGACTTTGAAAAACTCAACTGATTTCTCACGCAATGAAAATGCACTAATACTCTCTTTGGTAACAACAGAAAGTGTGACAACAGAAGTTGTTCATTCACTAATGCCTATTAAAATGGTAACTTGAACAATGAAGTTACATTGAGAGCGCCTACATTAAACTGATCAAACTTGTGACCACAAATGACATGGTACCAGGTGAGCCATTTCCTCTGAACAGGAGTCTGAGAGCATCTTTCCACTGTAAAGATTCAGGACAACCAGGTACAAGAAACTTTGTGGACATTTCAGCACGCAGACAATGAAAACAGTAAGAGAAATATTATAAAGACAGTATTTGCTTTGGAATCTGTATGTCTCTTTTATTCACATCTCCTGAAAGTTTTGTTTTCTAATCATACATGTCAGAAAGAAATTGTTAACTTTGTGCTCTATCAAACTTAAGATAAAAGAAAAATAAAATACCCCAAGAATGACCTATAGATTACAACGGCTCAGATCAGAGGTACTCATTTCTGAAATACCAACTTAAAAACCATGGGGATGTCCCTGGTGGTCCAGGGGTTGAGAATCTGCCGTGCAGGGCAGGGCACACAGGTTCGGTCCCTGCTCGGGGAACTAAGATCTCACATGCTGCAGGTCAATCACAGAGCGTGAGTCAAGTCACGCAGTCGTGTCCAACTCTGCGACCCCACAGATGATACAGTCCATGGAATTCTCCAGGCCAGAATGCTGGAGTGGGTAACCTTTCCCTTCTCCGGGGGATTTCCCCAAAAATGCAAGGAAAATCCCGTGGGCTGAAATTAGGCCTGAGGCAGCCAAAAAGGATTACCAAAAAACAAAAACATGGAAGTATGTTTCTTGAACTGCTGCTGTGAGTAATTTATATTCCTAACTTTTCACCAAATTTGAAGGTGAGAAATATAACTGAGGTGAGAAAGACAGTGTCTATACTACTGACTGAAGTCAACCACTGTACAACTAACCATGTAATTATACAAGCCTCTTCTGTCTCGTTACTGTAGCGAGTAGAATCTGCGGCGCTGAGGCAGGACCTGCGGGGCAGACACGGCAGTGGCAATCTCAGGTCCATGAGAGCAGGACAGCTGCTGTCACTCATCCCTCCATGGAACCCCAGAAAGGCAGAAGATGCCAGCGTGTCACTCAGCGTGATATCCGCCAAGGTCATGTCTGCCCCTTCTTAGAAGCAGCATGCCTTTGTTCCCTTTTTAACTGAAAGCCCCTGGCAAAGCTGGGAGGTCTGCATTTACTGTGGTCTTGAGCCCTGTGTGACTATGGGCTCCCACTCTGCAAATGGCAGACACAGAGAGTGACCAGTGAGACCTGCACGGAGTCTGGGCTCCACCAATGGGCACATCAGGGGAGGAACAAAACCACAGGAGGTGAGGGGGAGCCAGCCCGCAACAACGCCCCTCGAGCCCAAAGTCTGAATCATGAGCTGCAGGCTGGTACCTGTTCTCTGCCCCCAGTTCCTGCCTCTCGAACTCCATCCTGCTTTTCTGTCCGTGCTCTCCGGTCCAGTCTCTAGGGACACCCGAGGGGAAGGGGTTCTCCTGCTGTCTGACCTCTGATACTAAATTTTCTCCAGAGCAAGAGCGTTGCAAACTACACGGTACAGGTTCTATTTTTAAATTTCTAAGTGGTCATGAGGACTAATTTTGTAAAATACCACATCAATAAATTATCGAAACAAAAATTTTTGAGACAATATATGTCCCAATTTTCTTAACATTAAATTACTTCATTAAATTCTTATATAAGTTTTCAAATATTTACTCTCACTTTCTGTATTGATCACTATCAGTATCAGCTTGGACCCTGTCTGGCCCACACGCCCAGCAGTCCTGCTCTGGGACTCCCCTGGACCCCGTCTGGGCACACACGCCCAGTGGTCCTGCTCTGGGGCTCAGCCTGGACCCCGTCTGGCATACACGCCCAGCTGTCCTGCTCTGGGCCTCAGCCTGGACCCTGTTTGGGCACATACACCCAGCCAGCAGTCCTACTCTGGGGCTCAGCCTGGACCCCATCTGGCATACACGCCCAGCGGTCCTGCTCTGGGCCTCAGCCTGGACCCTGTTTGGGCTCATACGCCCAGCCAGTGGTCCTGCTCTGGGGCTCAGCCTAGATCCCATCTGGCACACACACCTAGCAGTCCTGCTCTGGGACTCCCCCTGAACCCGTCTGGGCACACACACCCAGCAGTCCTGCTCTGGGGCTCAGCCTGGACCCTGTTTGGGCACACACACCCAGCGGTCCTGCTCTGGGGCTCAGCCTGGACCCCGTCTGGCACACACACCCAGCAGTCCTGCTCTGGGGCTCAGCCTGGACCCTGTTTGGGCACATACGCCCAGTGGTCCTGCTCTGGGGCTCAGCCTGGACCCTGTTTGGGCACACACACCCAGCCGTCCTGCTCTGGGGATCAGCCTGGACCCCATCTGGCACACACACCCAGAGATCCTGCTCTGGGGCTCAGCTGGACCCCATCTGGCACCCAAGTCCAGCGGTCCTGCTCCTGAAGACTCATTCTTGCTTCCAGGCTCAGATGCTTATGATTGCATGCTCACATCCACCTGTCACTGAAATATGGCGGGTTCCTGGCTCTCTGAACCAACAAGGGGAAGGAACATGGCCCCCTAGGAAGTCCATTTGTCCCTCTCTGGTGCCCTCAGTCCTTGGGTCTGTCTGTCAACTTTAGTCCTTGCTCCCAGATGTTCAGTTCCTACAAGGAAGGAAGACCTGAGTTGCTTCTACCAGGAAGCAACTTGAACTCAATTGACACTTTTTAAATTTTTATTGGGGTATAGATGATTTACAATGTTAGGGTTAGTTTCAAGTGCACAGCCAAGTGAATCTGTTATACATATATTAATAAATAAAACAAAATGATAAATAATAAAATAAAACGTAACTACTTTTTTAGATTCTTTTCCTGTACAAGCCATGACAGAGTACTGAGCAGCATCCCCTGCGCTACACAGCAGGTCCTTACTAGTTACCACTTTATGTATAGTAGTGACACGTAACTTTTGAAGAATACGATTTTAAAAAATTCTGGTCTTTCTTTCTCAATTTGTAATCAAGTGAAAGAAGACAAGAGTTCTTATAGTATTTCTGGAAGTCCAAAGTATTTTAAGCATACTTCAGTGCATGGGAGTTAGGTAATATAAAAATTATTCACATCAATAAGGTCTTTAAATAGTTAAGTATGTGTTAAAAGATTTCAAATTCATGAAAAAAGTTTGCATTTTAAAAATGCCTAAACAGAAATTAAAATTAAATGTACTTTATTTAAACTTTTGGAATGGATGGTTTTAAACAACCTAAACAGTCTCTCAGAAGATAAAATACTCTAGCAACTCTATTCTGTACCTTAATAAGAAAGGGTTACCTATGCAGTAATTGCGTTATGATGCCTAAGTCTGTGTCTTCAATGCCACGGTTCACAACTGGGAGCTACACCACCTGCCAAGGTCATGCTGAGACTGAAGGTCAGGAGAGAAACGGTGTGCACAGGGAATTATCTGGGGCCCACAAGCCCAGTTCTTTGAGAAGCACACAAGTCGCTAAGACTGCGGACCAGTCGAACAGTCTAACATGCAGGAACAAAGATGAAATGGATTTATAAAGAAAGAGAATCTTCAAATATCTTTATGAGTAAACCCAATCTTGATCCTTTATAAGAATACATATCAATATAATGAAAAAAAATTGTACACAACACCTAGATGCAGGAAACGCAAAATCTGTGACCAGGTACCTAATTGTGGATGCTGTGGGGTTTCCCACAGACTATGACATGCTAAGTGCTGAAGGTGAAGGCCTGGACTCCATGCCTGGCCCAGCGGCACACAGCCTGGGGATGTGATCCTGCTGATGGTGGTGGCATCTGAGCATAGCCCAGCACCTGGGACTCAGGAGGCACCTCTGAGGTCACTCACCATGTGCAATCCTTACTTCCTCTCTCTTTTCACTAGGAACTCCTCATGACAAAAAGTAATACCTGAAGAGTTGTCTGCTATCACACTTCCTCCCCTCCCCTCTAAAGGGACAGGTGTTCTCCTGCAGGAGCAGCCTGTCACTTGTGTGCACACGCGTGCGTTCAGACACAGAGAGAACAGCCTGCTCTGCGTGCTGGGCACCCAGGCCTGGACCAGTGTCTTCAGCCTGCAGTGCCCTCGGCACGAGGCCTCTGCCTGGTGGTCAGGCTCCAGGTTCTCGCTGCATCCTCTCCTTTGGACGCATCTGTCTGTTTTTAAATCTAGTTCATCTGTGCCTTCCACAGAGAAGCCTTCCAGACCGTGACAGGTGAGCTTTTTACTTGTTTGTTTTCAGGGCACCCTGCACTCTTCTGAGACACTCAGCAAAGCTCAGATGATTTGTCTCATTTTCTTTCTTTTCCTTTTGCTTCAGCTGCACCGTGCAGATTGCAAGATCTTACGTTCCCCAACCAGGGATCGAACCTGGGCCCCAGAAGTGAAAGCACTGAGTCCTAATCACTGGCTGCTGCTGCTGCTAAGTCGCTTCAGTCGTGTCCGACTCTGTGCGACCCCACAGACGGCAGCCCACCAGGCTTCTCTGTCCCTGGGATTCTCCAAGCAAGAATACTAGAGTGGGGTGCCATTTCCTTCTCCAGTGCATGAAAGGGAAAAGTGAAAGTGAAGTTGCTCAGTCGAATCTAACCCTCAGCAGCCCCATGTACCGCAGCCTACCAGGCTCCTCCGTCCATGGGATTTTCCAGGCAAGAGTACTGGAGTGGGGTGCCATTTCCTTCTCCACCTAACCACTGAACTGCTAGGGAACTGCCTTTGTCTCATTCCCTTACTGTCTTTCTCGCCATGCGCTCCTGAAGGACAGGATCCGTAAGGACTCTGGCACACTGGTCTGGAGCAGAGACCCCACACAAAGCCCCGGGGCAGGGGTCAGGGGGGCTGCACTGGCGACAGACGCCAGGACAGACAGTCCTGCATCCTCCCTGCTAGCACCCTGACGCTCCCGGCTGCTGCCTCCTGGTACCATCCACAGGGTCAACCACCTTCTGAAAGGGGAAGCCCTTAAGAGTGTCTCACCTCTCAGAGAAGTCCACTTGATGAAATGCACATGTAAATGCCTCCCTGTTTGACAACTAGCAAAAACATTGGAGTGGGTTGCCATTTCCTCCTCCAGGGGATCTTCCCTGACCCAGGGACTGAACCCACATCTCTTGCATCTCCTGCACTGGAAGGTTGATTTTCACTGCTAGCGCCACCAGGGAAGCCCTAAAAATAAATCAACATGCTCCAATTTCACGTGAAAGAACCTGCACCCTGGCCCCTAAAGGGCTAATCAGATCCACCTCGTCAGGCCCCTGCCTCATCTAATAATTCCCCCACAGACAACCCACCACATCGACCCCCTTGTGTTCTGTTAGATGGATGAGCAGTGTAAGATCCCTCTAAACTCACCAGCTGCCCCCTACCCCCTCACCAGTTCTGCTGCACCACCTTCTTGAAGGCACAGTGACAAGTCTGTCATGAAACAGGTGTCAGAACTGTCTCCCTACAAAGGAGCAGCCTCCGTGCAGCTCAGTTTCTCCTCAAAGTGTGAGGACCTCACAGGGGCCTTGCTCTGGGCTCGTCTGAGAGGCAGACTGTCAGGCCGGGCCCATGAGGTCCCCCTGTGATGAAAGCACTCTGACACATGCTTGTCTGGAGTCACCTAAACACACAAAGCATCTCCTACATGTGCGAACTCAACACTAAAACCACAACTCCTTTCTCACCTGATGCAACCACAGTGCTTGCCCACAATGTATTTTCTATGCTGAGACTTTCATGAACAGGTGGATCACTGTCTTCCTATTCAGGGAGAGAAAAGAAAGAAAAATGCAAATTAGCAACTTTTTTATTACTCATACTTCAGATATCCACAGTGTTAAAACAAGCCCACCAGCTGCATTCAACTAACAAGCAGAGAAAAAGCTGTGAAAAATAGGCAAAAAGACAGGAATTTACACACGCTTCTGGGATGACGGTGGAGCAGGAAGCACCAGGAAAACACTCCCCACCTGGACAACAACCTCAGGGACAGAATCCATCTGATGTAACTAATTTGGAATCTGGAGCTGGTGAAGGGTGGCCAGTTCCAGAGATCACACATGTTTCTGAAGCCGCCTGTGGGAGCCAGGGTGGACAAAAGGACCCTATGCTTCAGGACTGGGAACCTGTGCTCCGATGCCGCGCTGGTTGGCAGAGATGCAGCTAACGAGGTAGGCGGCCACTGCTGCTACCCCTTCCCCACCCAGAGAAGTGATCTCCAGGGGACTTCAAGGACCAGTGATCTTTTAACCCCTACCATTTTTCTCTTTTTCCCCTTTTGGGAGCCAGATATTAAAGACCAGGACATTCAAAACCAACTGCATATACAGGAAAAAAACAGAAAACAATGGCACATGCCCAAGAAAAGGCTCAGAAAAGACACAAGAAGATATCAAGTTTACGCCTCAGGCTGAGCTGACAATCAAACAACAACAAACAAAAGCAAACACAGAAACCCAGCAAACCCTGATTTTAACTTCCAGGGTTACCACATCATTATATTCAAATGCTTGTTGAACAGCAAAAAGTAACAAGGCATAAAAGAAACAGAAAAGTATGCTCCATTCAAAGGAAAAATATAAATCAACAGGAACTATCCCTGAAAAAGACCTGATGGCACATATACTAGGCAAAGACTAAAAGAAAAATATTAAAGATGTTTAAAGACAAAGATACGGAGAAAGTCAAGAAAACAAAGTATAAACAAAGCAGAAATGTGAAGGAAGAGACAGAAAATCCAAAGAGAAACCAAAAGAAATTCATGAGCTGAAAAGTATTATGATCAAAATGAAAAATTCACTAAAGGGATTCAAGGTAGTTTGAGCAGACAGAAGGATCACAAGAGACATTATGTATTAATTAAATAAGGCAAAAAGATGACAATTAAAAACAATTATGCTCCTAATGGGCCTTTCCATGTGGGTGCAGTGGTAAAGAACCCGCCTGCCAATGCAGGAGACATAAGAGCCATTGGATGTAACTAATTTGAAAGAAGGTCCAATCCCTGGGTCGGGAAGATCCCCTGGAGAGAGCATGGCAACCCACTCCAGTCTTCTTGCCTGGACAATCCCATGGACAGAGGAACCTGGCTGGTTACAGTCCATGGGGTCACAGAGAGTCGGACATGACTGAAGCGAGTTAGCACGCATGCATGTTCCTAATGAAAGACAATGTATGAAACAACAACTGATAAAACTGAAGGAAGGACAACCCTGATATCAAAGCCAGACAAAGAGACTACCTAGAAAAGTAAACTACATATCAATATCTTCTATGAACAATGATACAAATATCCTACACAAAACATCAGAAAACCAAATTAAGCAGCAAATTAAAGGATTATACTCCATGACCAAGTGAGATTTATTCCTGAAATACAAGCATGATTCAACATGCAAATCAATCAACAAAATATATCACAATAACAGAATGAAGGAAAAAATACCCCACATGATCACCTCAATTGATGCAGAAAATGCATTTGCCAAAATTCAAAGCCCTTTCTTGACAGAAAACATTCAACAAACTAGGAATAGAAGGGAACTACCTCCTTATATTAAAAGCCATTATGAAAAACCCACCATGTGTAACATATAAAACGGTGAAATACTAAAACCTTCCCTCTGAGATCAGAACACCCGCTTTCACCACAACTAACTGACATAATACCCGAAGTTTCAGCCAGAATAACTGTACAAGAAATAGAAGGTACAATTTAGAAAGGAAGATATAAAATTATCTGTTTGTTGATGCTATGATCATATATACAGAAAATCCCACAGCTCACAAAAAAACTGCTAGTATTCAACTCTTGAAAGAGAGAAGGAGGCGGCCTTTACACAGTAGCTATTTCGTACTTAAATTTTTGACTGAACAGATCAACTTCTGACTCATTCACAGAGATGGTCTTAGAATCTTAACACTGATGGAGAGTCAGAAAAAGTGTGATACCCTCCTGCCTACCTCCTACACACAGTTTACATGGCACATCCTGTAACTGCAAGCCAGTGCAGGCGCTTTAGCCATGGCCTGGAAAACTAAGTGCAGACTAGGACACACCCTGCCGACTGCTGATTCACACAGTTATCATTTAAGGCACAAGACAAATATATAAAATTACTCTCCAATGTGAATTCTGGATTATTTTTACTGCATCTAGCAATTCCCATGTTTAGTTTCCCTTCAGACTGTGAGCAATGTAACTATGGCACTGATTTTGATGTTGTGAACTCCTAGCACAGAACAGGCAGTCACATCTGTCCAGTAAGAGAATAAATCTAAGAGATAAACATGAACCTCTTCCTCTGGTTTCTAACCCTTGTGATGGAACTAATAATGAGGCATGTTGTTACTCTAAGCCACCTCCTTTCTTTTAGCAACTCCTTAAGACCACCTGCCCACAGCTGGCCATCAGCTGACCACAAAAGTACAAGGGGTACAACTGTATTAGTTTCAGACGCTCCCTGTGGTTCCCCTGACATGGAAAGTTAAAACCATTACTGCATGCATATCTTTGCATATAGCATTACCACTGTGTGAAACGCCAAGACAGACAAGGGCATTGTAAAATATAACACTGTTATAAAGCTTTCTGAACTGCAAATACAAGGTTCTATACAATTTAGCTTTAAAATTTAAGTTGGTTCTCCCATTACTTTTCCAGAACTCTTTAATCACGTGAATGCTTTTGTCAGTTTCTAACACAATTATGTGCTGAAGAATACACAGTGCCTATGCAGTTTGCTTTCAATTCTGTAACAACAATGATGGACTTTAAACATTAAACATTTTTCTAATATTGAGAAAATTACTGTAAACGATAGTTCTTTACCAATCTCATATAGTACAGAAGACAGACTGGGAAGATGGGAAAGAAATTATCTCTAAACAACTTTCTCTCTGGGTTTCCTTACTCTTAATGTCATATAGTTTGAAAAGATAAAATTTGCCTTGAGGGGGAGAGTGCAAAATGTTACAATTTCAAGCTGTTTTCTCAATAGTGCACCATATTTAACAAACAATAGGGATATGCTTTTTAAAAGGAGAGTATTTTGATTGAAAAAGACACGAACAATGGTAAGTGTGCTATGGTTTACAAAGGAAATTACAGTAGAAAATGCAGCATAAAAAAGATTAAGTGGGAATGTGATGTTAAAGGACTACAAATGCTGTTAATATTTCAAAACTGGCTACAGTTTTAGACTCCAAAGTACAGAGAGAATAGCTATGTCTTTAACAATAAGCAAAATTAATGATATCAATAATAATAACATGAATCATTTATATACCACAAAATGCCATACAGCACATAATTTAGGTAACCCTGACATTGTTTCAAGGGAATGGACAGTAATCACAGCATGCATATCTGCCTTAAACTCTGCATGGGCAGTGACATATACAATATGTCTATTGCCACAGGACACCTTAATCAATCTCTGATTCTTATTAAATTACACAGGCTGAGTCAAAAGAAACATATTTTCTCCTTTGTATTGATACATTACACTATAAAAAAGGAATATAAGCAGATACCACTTTTTAAAATGTTCAGTTGTTATTTTGGTAAACTAAGCTCCAGTTACAAAACAAGTTACATTTAACATGGTTTTTTTCTTTCCTCCTTTTTGAAAAATGCACACAAAAGCAAAGATTTTTCCATCTGAAATAATCTGAAAGTCACATTTGAAATAATTAAAATGAGTGAAAAAAAACCTTGCTAAGAACATCAAATGAAGGCAATGAACTATACTGTTAAGAACCTGCAGTAATTCACACATGTTAACAAAAAGCCTGGCTGCAGTCAGGGTCTGGGCTCTGACACTACCCGTCCATTTGGACCTGTTCCCACTCACAGGAAAATGCAATCTTCAGAACTCTCCCACCTTTATGCTGTGCATATTAGCGACAGGCGATGCTGTCTGCTCTCACCACTGGCCTGGGCACTCTGGAGAGGCGGTGAGGCCATGAATAAACTGCAGCTACTTTTACGGCAGCATTTGTGGAAATGAAGTCATAGAGTCATGCCCATCTCCTCCTCCTCCTATCTACATTCCCACTCTGCTCACTACCCGACACACAATATGCCCTTAGCAAATGCTTCCTCAAATGATGACAACTGTTCACCAACCCTTGTATGTGACCAAAAGTGAGACAAAGATGGTTGTACTACCAGAAATCTTTAAAAATAATTGTAGCAAGTAAAAATAACCTACAATTGTAAATATTCAAATCCCTCAAGTATTATAAGTCATTTATATCATTGGTATAAGCTGCTAAAACCAAAAGTTACCAAATCCTAAAAATAATTGAGGGAAGAGGGGACTTTAAGCTATACCAAAACACCAGTGAAAAGAATGTAGAATGAAATACATATATGTATATAAGAAAATGCATGTGCACTTATACATACACATCCATCCAACAAGTTACTAAAAATCAAGAAATGAAGTGGATATCATATTGTCCAAAAGAAAAACTAAAATAGCTGAATTACTTCATTTTACTGACTCATAATATTTTAAGAGAGAAGGGTCTTATTAAGAGTAAATATGCTAAAAACAGAAAAACTACTTAATGTATCTCAAAGAAATATCTGACACAGGAAAATTTAAGAACCTGAAATATTCTCTAGGTCTTCACTTTTTAAGTTCAGAGCTTGTTTGAATTGATTCTTGATTTAATTACACTTTCAAAATAAAGGTTTGCTATAATGTTTTTAACGTACACAATGAATATACATGCATTTAACAAAAGATTTGACTTACCCTCGTAAATGTGCCTTCAAAACTATGAATATCCAATTGTGGCTTCTGAGCATAAACATAAGCGTTGATAGAAAAAAGGTCCTGGAATATAGAATATCTGAATTAATAAGATAATAATTAAACAAAATTACTTGGCAAGTTCTCAGTTACCAACTAGTATTTTTCATATATCATTTACCAAAACAGATGATTTTCTTATATGTTGTGTGCCAGTACTATGAATCGGGAAGCAAAAGAACCCAAAGAAACCACTTTTAAGCTCAAGAGAGGTGTGGGGATCTCTTGACTTTTAAGGACAACTGCTATACCTCATGGCAGGTTGTGTCAGAAGCAGTCGGGAGATGCTCCTAAAACAGACAGCACCTGGTGCTGTCCCCATGGACCATGAGCTTGACTGTGAGCCTGAGCCACTTTCCAAGACTCCTCCTGTACACATACCTCCTGCAGCAGTCTACTTACTGAAGCCACTGTCCCCAAAGGGGATGACCTGTCCTGGATCATGCCTGAGATAAATGGGCAGGATGGCAGGGCTGGAGCTATGGAATGCTATCTGAAAAGTCTGAAGATTCAGAGCGCCTCCTGACCAGTTCCTGAACACGACTTGTCTTCCTGCGAAGCCACCCCGTGCCTGTTCTCCGTGCTAACTACTCTGGGCCCTTTCATGGTAGCGACCAAGGCAATGAGGCGCACGTGCTAAGCCCTGGGGGTTCCCTGAGAGAAGCATCAAAACTGGGGGGATCTGGAGGATCCCTTAACACAGTCTGCCGTTCTTCTAAGTTTTGCTTTTGTTTTCTGTTTTGTTTTGCCTCATGGCTGCTAACACTCAGAAAACTGCAGATTTCCAGGCGTGAAGAACAAAGGTCAGATCACAGATGCTGAAGCTCCAGAGAGGAGGTGAAGCCCCAGAGGGCAGCTCCAGGAGGCTGGGTGCTGCAAGCCCCACGCTCTCAGCCTGAGCCCCGAGCCCCTCGTGCAGGCAGATTCCAGCTCAGCCAGAAGAAAGGAGCAAAAGACCTCCATGGCTCTCCACTGCAGGGAAGACGGAGGTGAGAGTCTGACTTCAGTCCAGTTAACACTAGTTCAAACCAAACCAAACAAAAAAACCCAATACTCTTCAGAACATTATAGAATCCAGAGTCTCTACAAGGTATCAGTATGTTGAAGATACAATCCTAATGTCCAGACACAGGAAGAAATGAGAATACAAGATCCATGTTCAAGGAGAATCTAATCAATGAAGACTAATTCTGACATGACCAGACATCAGAATGAGATCAAATGAGAATTTCAAAGCAGTTATTAGGACATACCAAATCTTTAAAGGAAAACATTCTCATAAAGAATAAACAAATAGGAAATCACAGCAGAGAAAAAGAAAACATATTTACAAAAAAGGACCAACTGGAAATTCTAGAATTGAAAATAAACACAACTGAAATAAATTCACTCATTAGATAGGCTTAACGGAGAACAGTCAGTCAGTGAACCTGAAGACAGGTCAAGAGACGGCGACTGTGAAGAACACACAGGGAACGAGACAGTGACAGCGAGTGTGGTCGCAGCATCCTTGAGCACGGCAGGTGAGGTCCTGGAAGAGTGCACAGGAGAAAGGGCGGGAAAAGCTTTCTGAGAAACAGAGGCCAAAACCATGCCAGACTGGCTGACAGTCACACATGTGCAGACTGAGGAAGCTCAGAAAACCCTCCCGACAGGTGAGTAAAACCTGACACAAAGTCACAGCTAAATAAGAAACCAAATATAAAGAAAGATCTCAAAAATACCTAGAGAAAAATGACACAGTCTATACAGGGGAAAAAACTATCAAAATAATACTGATTTTTCATCACAAATAATGAAAGCAGAACATAATGGAACAAAATATTTAAAGTACTGGGGGAGGGGGAGGCGGGGGAACTGGTCAACTCTGAATTCAACATTCAGCAAGTATCAACATTCAACATTTTGTGAATTCAACATTCACAAAACAGGTGAAACTACAATATTTTGAGATAAAGAAAATATGAACTCACTGCTAGCAGGCATAAACTACAAGAAATGCTAACAGAAGTTCTCTAGGTTGACGGGAAATGATATTCAGTACAAACTCAGGTCTTTAGGAAGGAATGGTGAGGAACAAAAATGGTTAATACAGAAGAAAAATAAAAATAAAAATCCTGGCTTTTCACTTTATTTCTTTAAAATACAGATAAAATATCAGAACAGTTTATGATATATTCAGACATACTACATATAGAATGTATACAAATACATACAAAAATATGTGCACACAAAAACTGTGCAATGTACTTTAGCACCAAAAATGAGTGTGCTAAATGGATCTATATAATTCCAAGGTTCTTAATTTAATGTGAAATTATACAACTTTAACTTTTCATAATCATTTTTAGTTAAATGCATACTTCAGTCTTTTTGTTGTTGCTGTTCAGTTGCTAAGTCATGTCTGATTCTTGTGACCCCATGAACTACAGCACACCAGGATTCCCCATTCTTCACTATCTCCTGGAGTCTGCTCAAATTCAAGTCTATTAAGTTGGTGATGCCATCCAACCATCTCATCCTCTGTTGTTCCCTTCTCCTCCTGCCCTCAATCTTTCCCAGCAAGTCTGAGGAAGCTTGAGGATCACTCATCATTCGAGGGCCTTCCCAGGTGGCTCAGTGATAAAGAATCTGGCTGTCAATGCAGGAGACACAGGAGATGTGGGTTCGATCCTTGGATTGGAAAGGTCCCCTGGAGTAGGAAATGGCAACCCATTCTATTATTCTTGCCTGGAAAATTCCATGGACAGAGGAGCCTGGACGGTTTTAGTCCATGGGGTTGCAAAGAGTCGGACACGACTGAGTGAGCATGTCCATCATTTAAGCACTACGCTGTCACAGTAATTTTTAAAAAGTGATGTTTTCATATAACAGAATACCTTTTGATACATGGAAATAAAGAACTGCCTAACAACAGCCCCCATATTTCTGAATGCACAAGAACACTGAAAGGAGTGCATTTCATCTAGTATATTAGACATCAAATGACTGAATAATGGCACAATAATGACAATGTCATTTGAAGCTTTTCATGATAATTTAAAAATCATTCTGAAGTTTTCAATAATGTAGGAAAGCCTCTGCTATTAGGTCAAGGGCAACATTTGTTCGCATTACTTAAAGGTCATTAAAATACATCCTTAATCATAACATGTGGTTCATTACAAATAAAATTGCCTTTCGTTCAATAAAACTAATTAAATGTAAATGGTATTGTTTACTGCTATATGGATCTTTTGAAATAAATCAGCTAGTCATGATTTATTGAAAATTGCTGTGACCTCATTGTTGTTAATAAATTTGCCTGATCACAGAAGCCGGGAACGTGCTTCCCACATGTTTTCAAGCCGTGCCCGCACGGCGGTGAGAAGCCAAACCTGCCATCACAGGGTGGGATCTGGCGGCAACACTGCTCTGACTCAAGTTTCAATTCTCTGATCACACTAGGTGCTCTGGACACAATGGAACTAGAACTGTTCCTGGGGGTGTCAGTTTTTCAGGAAGGGCTCTAACGCAGGTTTACCCATTCCTGGTGTCACCATGTCACAACGCTCCACTGACGATGCGACAAACAGCAAATGACACTGCACACTCCACAGATCTTTTACGTCAGAGACAGAAAAGTCGAATGAGTAACAGTTATGGGTAGTGTAAGCTATGAGGTGAAAAACCAAACTGCTTTGCCTATGTCCAAAATGAAATTAGAGCCTTCTTTCCTATGAAAAAAAGCCTATACCTAATATGCCAAATTATATGAAGTTACAAATTTAAATTGATGGTTGAATCACAAATTCAGCTAAATTTATCAAAACTTAAAACACTTTCATTTTCCAGTTACCTCACCCAAATGCTTAACACACTATCAAAGTGTACCAACCATAAAATTTTAAAAGTAGCACTGTATGAACTGTATACTCTAGCTTTCTAAGTATTTTGTAATTCATACATCTGTCACTAATAAAAATGAAGAAAATATCCTTATAATACTGAATGTGATAGAAAGTACTTCCTGTGACCACAGCCAAGGGAACTTTCAAAAATACAGGCAACACAGTGGGATTCTAAACACTTTCTTAAGACATAAATTACAAGCAATAACATTTTTACAACAAAAAAAGCATGTTTACAGGGCACAATTTTCTGCATCTTAGTACAAATACACACCTGTGACACCAACAGCATCAAGGTATGGATGTTTCTACAAGCACTCTGCAGGCCCCTCTGCACACAGCCTCTGTCACAGCTGACCCATGCTCCTGGAATCTATGTAACACATACCACATCCTTGCGTATTTGGCTTTTCTTTCAGAAAAATTCTGACACAGTGCCTTAACATTGCACTTCTTTTTTAACACTAGCAAATTAACTCTACTCCCAATGTTCTGCTGCAACTGCTTCCAGGTGTCAGTCAGTCAAGCACCTCCCAACTCCTGGAAAGGCAATGCAGAGGCAAACACTCTGGGGTGTGACCACCACCCCAAGCGTAACAGCACACAACCTCCAGTCACTGGGGCACGTGGCATCTCCCCTCTTCAACCCCGGGGAGACTACTTGAGGATGTGTGCTGGGAATGGAAGGCAGAACACAGAGGAGGGAAACAGCAACTGAGAAACAGCAGCAGGAAGGCATCCAGGGCTCAGCGGACATTAGGCTGTCAACAGGCTTCACAACTGTCTCAGGGTAGACTAACCATGTTAACAAGCAGTATGAGAACCGAAAGCTGGGTGTCTTCTTCAGTGACAACGCAACAGCACAGCTTTCTCTTGTGCAACACGTAAGAAAAGGAAGAGCAAAGCCAACAGAAACGCTGGGGGTCTAAGTGAGGCTGCAGAGAGCGGAGAAGAGGAGTGCGCTGAGAAGACTCCGGCCCAGCTGCAGGCTGCCGTGAAAAGAATCTGCTCAACCTCACTCAGAAAACCATCTTTCAGCCACACAGATTTAGCAACAGGACTGAACCTCCTTCCCTATGGTCTATGTGCAGCGAATATTTTAATAATTACAAGACAATAAATGCTAATGACCAGCCTCTCACTTTGAGACTACCGCTGACAAACACTGACAGTGGTTAAAATGATAGATAAACACGGGTGGAAGAACAGCCTTCTGGGCACAACACAAAATCCACATTCAAAAAAGAAAACATATAAATATTTACCTATATAGAATTTAAAACATTTACACATTAATATGGAAAAAGATATAAAGTGAAAAGTCAGGAAACAGTCTGGGAGAACAGATGTGCAAAGGTCTGGAGAAGTCTGCACACTCAGACACCGAAGTTGAGGCTTTACAACAGAACCTACCAGGGCAAGGTAGGTTAAAATTGTGCTAAAATAGTGAGCAAGTCAGCAAATGGTACAGCTGCAATCAGCCAGCAGTTGTTTTTGATTTTCTTCTCAGAGTTCAATTCAAAACAAATGCTAGATGGACTGGAGGGTTCATGTGTAAAGCATAATTATTTTTAAAGTAACCATTTATAACCATGGAGTGGGAGAGTCCAAGCATAAAGACAAGGCAGTGACTATTTATTTTTAAAGTAACCATTTATAAGCATGGAGTGGAAACAGTCTAAGCAAGAAATAAAGGCAGTGATTATTTATTTTTAAAAATATTTTTATTGAAATATATGACACATAATATGTATAAATTTAAGATGTACAAGTCAGTTTGAAAGTCATTGTAATGATAATTAGCACTTCTATCACATTATATAAATAACCATTTTAAAGACTACTTTAAAACTACCTTATTTAAGGATAGTAAACTTTTACATGGACAAAAAAAACTATAAACAAAAATATTTAAATCAGTGAAGAATGAAAAATGACTGGCCAACTACATAAAAAACTTCTTTAAAAACACACAACAGGAAAATGGGTATAGACAACATGAACAGAAACAAAAAAATACAGTACATCTACTTTCTTAGGTAAGAAATCTTCAAACTCACAAAAAGATTAAAAGCATATTTAAATGGGATGCCACTCTCACAGTCATCAGACTGGAAGAGGCTGACGGGTCAACTGACTAACATACAGGAGATGAACAGGTCTGTCAATGTAATCTTCTAGAGAGCATTCTGGCTAAAGGACCAAATCCCTGCACTATGCCTACTTCTGCACTCTATTATTATCTATAAAATATCAAAGACATTAACTTTCACATTCACCAATACCAGGCTGGTTCTAGAAGTTATAATTTGCCAAATACCATGCAGCTAAAAAAGTCCCTCAGAGACACATATTTTCTAACATAAAACGATAACCCCCAAACATACTGCTGAACGCCTATCTTAACAGAAAAAATGTGCACTGCTTCACTCACGTGTTTGTGAAAGAAGCTGTGTAGTTGAGAACAAAGGTGTGAAGCACCTTCCAGGACAGAGGAGACATGGCCGGGGTATGCCCCGTCCTCCTGGCAGGTATGTTTCTGAAGTCAGCAAACCCTCCTTCCCTGTTGGCTCAGAGGGTAAAGCGTCTGCCTTCAACGCAGGAGACCTGGATTCGATCCCTGGGTGGGGAAGATCTCCTGGAGAAGGAAATGGCAACCCACTCCAGTATTCTTGCCTGGAAAACCCCATGGATGGAGAAGCCTGGTGAGCTACAGTCCATGGACTCACAAAGAGGTGGACACGACTGAGTGACTTCACTTTAAAGCAAACCCTCCAATAGCAAAGGCCCATTGCTCTGGACTTATTAAAACTTTATGCTTGATGGACCACCTTTTAATTTTAATTTTAAATATCCCGGAGCTCAGTTAGCCCACAAGACACATATTTCTCACTAAGAATTATTATTATTTTTTCTAAGAATTAATCGAACTTCTACAAGCTGTGTCATTGCAACTGGTGTGAGACTTGCCCTCCCACTTAAAAACACTGCAAAATCAACAAAACACGTGAATCAGCTGTTTTTAGACACAGGACACAGAGTTCCTGGTAGAGTCGCAGGGCTGGGACCCTCAGGAGATGAGAATGCAGCTGCGAGCCCCGGGGAGGCCAGCCTCCTGCCCAAGGGAGGTGTTGCGCCCGGGGCCAGGCTGCTGAGCAGGGCGAGGCAGAGCCCAGGGACGGGCGGGGACTGGCAGGTGCTGGCACAGAAAGGAGGTAGAGTGTAGGACGGGCCCGCAGCGGGCCTGGTCCTGAGTCTGCTCCCCTCTCCAGACTGAGGACGACGAGGGAAGTGATGGCTGGCAGAGTGTAACCAGAAGCGCTCCTGCCCAGCCCCAGGGATGACACAGTGTTGAGGAGAGAGACAGTCTGAGTGGCCGGAGTTAGAGGTACCTCAGACTAGCCTGGGATGTCCACGGTTACCCCAAGGAGGAGCAGGCCTTGGGGTAGGGTTACATTAGCATCATGATAAAGGGGACTCCAGGCCACCCCAACAAAGCTTAAAAACAAGTCTTGGAAAGGTTAAGTTTATCCACAAGTTATGGAACTAAGAAAATGAAGATCAACAGGTTGCAAAGTAAGAGAAAAACATAGTATTTACATTATTCAGCACCCAATTAAAAATTATCAACTATGCAAGGAAGCAGGAAAGTGTGACCTGTAACAAGGAGAAAAATATTTTAAAAAGAAACATACTCAGAAATAACAGAGACAATGGAATTAACAAACAAAAAATAAGTATCACAAACTGCTGAAAAAGTTAAATGAAACTATGAACACATTAGGAGAGAAGAGGATTTAAACAATAACAAAAACTGGTGACCACATGGAACCTGGTTCCAGAGATTAAAAATACAGTATTTGGAATAAAATAAGTTGTTGTTGTTGCTGCTGCTGCTGCTAAGTCGCTTCAGTCGTGTCCGACTCTGTGCGACCCCAAAGACGGCAGCCCACCAGGCTCCTCCGTCCCTCGGATTCTCCAGGCACGAATCTGGAGTGGGTTGCCATTTCCTTCTCCAAGGTCTTAACAGAAAACTAGACACTGATGAATTTAAAGGCCGAGCAACACGGGACTTCCTTGGGAAGTGAGCATCAGAAGCTTGACACGGGCAGGAATGTCGAGTCTAACACACTTGTCACCCATGTCCCAGGGAGAGGAGTCTGGGCAGAAAGGAGGACGGAAAGAGAAGAAAACCATGACCCCGCAGACCCAAGAAACCCAACAAACTCTAAGGAAGGAAGGAATTTCAACGCAGGTCCTACCCAGAGTATGGGTGATGGAAAATACCTAAAGAATCAAAATACTGCCAAGGCTGACATATGTCACAGATTTAGTTTCCCCAAAGCGCAATACATACAAGAATGAGAAAGTTCCCGGTGATTCAGAGAATTAACTGTGAACCATCAGCCGTCCATACTTTCATCAAAGCCAGCCCATCTCAGGACAGTGAGCAAATCCAGAGGATTCAAGGCCCTTCCCTGAAACAACTGCTTGGCTTCAAGGTCTTCTTAAGACAATCTCAGTCTTTCTTTACTCTCCAATGAATATCAGCAAATCGTGTTAAGATAAAGCTGCTCTCATTCAAATAAATAGCACATACAACATAAAACAACACCAAAAGGCCACAACTGTGATTTTACTTAAAGAAAAAAAAAAAAGATGTGTGGCAGTTTCGGAGGTTCTAAGCACATGTGAGACGGGCTTTCAGAGACCATGGAACATGCTGAAACCCACAAGCGTGGTGCCCTCGATCCCGTCCATCCCCAGGCAGCAGAGGCCAGGCCACAAGTCTGCAGGTGTCCTTCTCCTCCTACGTGCTGACAGACACAGGCACACTGCACCTCCTCCCCCCCAGGGAGGACTCTCCACTCTCAGAGGGAAAGGCTCAAGTGGACGGGCTGGGCATGTCCCTCTAAATTCTCCCAAAACAGCATCTTAACAGCCTTCTGGGAGTCAGTTACCAAAAATGGACTCATCCAACCCCCACCAGGAGTTTCAAAGATTACTCAAATGAAAGGATTAAAAATAGAAACAACAAGAAAAGGGAAAGAAAAGAAGGAAAACCTGAGCCAAGCTCAGAAACATTCAAAACTACATCTCAAACAGGGTATGAGCTAAGACATCACGGAAATTATGTGGGCATAATTTTCGATGAATTTAGTAGTGAAATTATTCTTTACATTATCAATACAATAGTCAAGTTAGCTGGTATGTAAGTGCACAGAAATGACCATACAGTAACTGATGGAGTAATGACAACAATGCTCACCCCCAGAGCGGGCAGCCTCTGTGTGCAGCTCACCGCCACTTTCAGCTTCCAGTCAGTTTCACCATCTAGTTGATCAGTTCGAATAAAACATGAACCTTGTAACAAGAGAAGAAAAACTCCTGAGTTATGGGTACCTTAAAGCCACAATTCATCGTAAAGTGGTGATACAAAAATGATAGATCTAGAGATTCCCATGAACAAAAATCCGTAAGTCTTTACTTATTTAACTCACAAAATGAGTTTGCTGAAAAGACAGAGCTCATTAACTATTGAGGTCATTATCTCCTGTTTGGTGTTCTTGACTATTGAGGTTTACTATTAATTAGTACTTTATTTTAGAAAGATATAGAGGTGGCAAATAAGCACATGAAAACATGCTCCACATCACAAAAGGGAAAGGAAAGGGAAAACAACAAGAAGACACCACTCAACAACTATTAGAATGGCCAGACTCTAGAACACTGACAGCACCAAATGCTGGGGGACACAGAGCAACATGAACTCTCTTTCATTGTTGCTGGGGATACAAAATGGTGCAGCCACTTCAGAAGACAGTTTGGTGTTTTTTTACAAAGCTAAACATAATTTTACCATACAATCCAGCAACTGCACTCCCTGACATTTATCCAAAAGAGCTGAGGAACTTATGTCCCACGATACCCTGCATGCAGATTTTATACCAGCTTTATTCACAACTGCCGAAACTTGGAAACAACCAAGACGTCCTTAGGTGAGTGAATGGATCACTGTGGTAAATGTGGATAATGGAGGATAATTCAGCAATACAATGAAATGAGCTATCAAGTCATGAAAAGATATGAAGGAACTTTAAATGTTTATTTCTCAGTGAAAGAAACCAATCTCAAAAGGCTGCATACTATGTGATTCCAATTACATGACATTCTGGAAAAGAAAAAACTACGGAAACACTGAAAAGATCAGTGGTTGCCCAGGATGGAGTGGTGGTAGAGGCAAACAGGCAGAGCACAGGAGATTTTAGGTCGGTGAAAATACTCTGTATGATACTATATACAACGATGGATGGGTTTCATTATACATTTGCCAAAACCCACAGAATGTACTACACCAAGAGGGAGTCTTAATGCAAACGATGGAAGCTTGGTGATGGTGATGTGCCAGTGTGAGTCTGTCAACTGTAACAAACGGCACGTCTGGTGGGGATGCTGATAATGAGGGAAGCTACCCATGAGAGAGGGCAGGGAGTATATTGGAAACCTCTGCACCTCCTTCTCATTGTTCTGTGAACCTAAGAACAAAGTACAAAGTTTTTAAAAATGTTTAAGAAACATATTCAGATTATTATAGAAAATATAAACCAAAAATGCTACACATACATTTGTTCTCTGCAGGATAGGAAAACTGCAAATAACTGAAACTGCACTACAGTAACCTACATCTAAATTTATACTGGAACACCTGCAAAAATGGAGACTACTTTTCCTTGTACTTTTCACATATTTATATTTCTGAGCCCCCCTTCCCCTGTCTAGCAGTGTTTGCTCCTATCCATCTATTTTATGTAGAATTACACTACTGATCAGCGCAGTTTAGCACAGTGCAGCTCTGCTGAACGGCTCACTGCATACATGCTCCTTTAACAGAGCTCAAGCTAAGACAACTATTGGCTGACTACACGTCCTCTCCACTTCAGTAGCTAACTTCATCAGTAAGTTATCTCAGGGCCTTTTCCCTTTTATCCAGAGGAAGAGGCTGCCGTATGCCAGGTCAGCTTTCAATAGTGATCACTACAGCAAAACAGAAGCATTAAATAAAAGGTTTGCATGCTGTCTGGAAATAAATACCTCCTAACATCTTTTAAAAAGTAAATGAAGACCTGATGAAGATTTTACAGGAAATGTCTAGAAATGTTCAGTAAGAACTTAGGAAAGAAAGGCAGCACTGTCAACTTCTGAATTAACTCAGTGGCTTGGCCTTGCTTCACATTATTACAGGCTGATACACCACACTGGTCTTAGGTGTGTACCCAACATTCACTGGACACCACCATACTGAAAGCATTATTCCAGGTACTACAGTTCCTACTGATCTTAATAAGGTTATGGTTTAATAATTAGATAGACAATCAAATAAAATTAAAGAAAAAAAAATGTGCTGGGAGAAGCACAGAGTATGTATGCCACTGGCCATACAAGTAGCCCAGCCATAAAGTTCTAAAATAAAACTTAAGTCATTTGGAGCAGCCTTTTAGAGCCTTATACCAGAAATGGGGTGAAGGACTTCTATGAGAGGCCCTAAGGGAGGAGGATTCAGCTGGAAAATGACTATGATACACACTTAAGGAAAAGAAGACCCATGGTAACATGTATCAAGTGTTCAAGTCTTCTGGGCATGGGGGTTCTCTGGTCGCCTAGTGGTTAGGATGCTGGGCTCTCACTGCCATGGGCTCCAGGTTCAATCCCTGGCTGGGGAACTAAGATCCCACAAGATATGCAATGCGACCCCCCCCCCCCCCCAGAAAAAAGTCTCCTTAGAAAATTTTGAACCTCAAGGGCCAAAGGGCCAGAATCAAAGATACCAACGGTGGGCCAGGGCAGGAAGGATGAAGCCTGGGACAAAGTAGCGGGCAGAGCAGTAAGGGACACTGGAGGGATTCAACACAAGCACACTTCTCTGGCCTGGCTCTCTCCGAGTAGGTCTTTCAAAGATTATGATGAGAACTAATATAAAACTCCAAATTAAGGAAGCAGTAGTTATGGAGTCTACATTTTCAGTTAGAAACTATTCTGCACTTGGCCCCTCAAAAAATGTAGATTATATACGTATTCATAATAGGGTATAACTTCTTTCTCATAAAAAATGAAGGCTATTACTATTTACTGAGCACCTACTAGATAGTGAAGGACAGGGGAGCCTGGCACGCTGCAGTCCACGGGGTCGCAAAGAGTCAGACACGACTTTTGAGTCTGAACAACAACTAAGTGATAGTCCTGGCCCACATATGACATCTGATGTCCCAGAGACAGGAGGCAGGTGACTGACCCTGTGCAGGCTCAGAGGGGAACTGCCCCAGGGTCTTACCAAGCAGCACAGCTCCACGCCATCATTGGGTCCATGTGACTCCAGACCCCAGTGAACACAGGCCTCGCCACAGCTGATCTAGATAACAGCTTGAACCACATTACACAAGCCAGGAATTTAGTGTGGATGCTGGTTGTTTAGTCAATGGTTTATTTTTAAATACCTGGCTGACAACTTTGTGCAATCTTGCTCCCCCGCAGTATCCTCCTCTGACATCCTTGCTCAGAGTATTTCCTGGCTTTCTAGGCTCTGCATAAACCTCTTATCGGTTTAAAAAAAAATAGTGCCTGAATGTGTTTAGTTGGTCAGATTTTTCACCCTTTATCAGTGAATTTGTATGGCTCATGGGGAACTCTCGCAATTTAGGACAGTCCTACTTTGGTCCCACAGTTGGTCAGGGACCAGCAGCTTGGACGTTCTCTGCCTGAGCCTGGGACCACAACCCCGGACAAATGCACTGACGTCTAGGCCGATGGGGGTGCATGTGATTCTGTACTGAAGGTCAGCTTCGCAGGAACTGTCCTGGGAACACAGCGGGGAATATAGAGACTGTGTTTAGGCCCCAGGCCAGCATTGGACGAACCTGTCTGTTTCCCAGAAGCCTTTCCAATCTGTGTCGAGCCCCACTCCCACTATTCCTGCATGGAGTAGCCCAGTGTCTGCACACACAGACGGGTCGGAGGCCATGGGCCCCCCACTTGCTGACTCCCCCCCAGAGTCTGGCAGGGAAGTTTCTGGCTGGTGTGCATCACAGATTCATCCTCTGAACCACTGGCCACCAAGCTCCCCACACGTTTTCAACACTGCCCTCATACACAGATTTAAGCAAGCTCTGTTCCCAATAAAGTTCACAGGGAAACAAATTTTGTTATGCATTATTTGTCAACAGATTTCTAAGGAGAGTAACTGGTTTCAACTAAAAAGGGGTTCAAGGAAATTTGGAGTACACATAAAACTTTTTTCTCAACATTGCTTTTTTCCTCTTAAATATATGTATGTTTGTATACATCTGCGTGTGTACTTCATAAAGTACAAAAACAACTTGAAAGGGAGTGGATTCTAAATTCTGTCTGACACATACTTTGAGACATCAATGCCAATGGCTCTGCTCTAAAAGGTTTGCTTTCTAACATAAACAAGATGAGACTCTCTAAAGCCTCTTAAATTTCACACATTTTGTGTTTATATACCTTTCTTAGATGTCTTACCAAAACACTAGAAACAATATACATGCTTTTCTTCAAGGTAAAAAGATATGCCTCATGTTAAATAATTACACTACTCTTTATAAATATAGAGGAAACTGCCGCACTATTTATCTTCCAGTACAGTTAACAGGGACAGAGAAGCATGCTACATTCCATGGGGTCACAAAGAGTCGGACATAACTGGGCAGCTGAACAACAGCAGCTAACATCGCTAGGCTCACAGTAACCGATATGATTTAAAGAGAGAAAATGAACTGCAGAAAAATCGTAAATATGGCCAACTTGTCTTACACGAACTATGTCTAGTAATTTTTTAATAGCAAGCACCAGCTATAACCGATGCCACTTAAGGCTCAGTAAAAATGAATTATTAAATTGGTCTGCTTATATCCTATTACTGACTTCTTATGAATACTTGATTTTATTTGGTATAATTGACAAGAGTTGACAGCAAAGGACAGGTTTAATGATAATCAAATGAAGATTAACTCATGTATGTGTCACCTAGAAGAGCTGGCGATAAAGTAATTGATACGACCCCCAAAGACAGGGCACACAAGTCTGTCGTAAGTTTTAATAAGTTACCCTGTAATATGAGCAGCCTGCCTGCAACAGCTCACACACCCAATGGCTCTGAAAGAGACAGGCTGCAGTATGTGCCCAACACAAGAAAAATAGACATTGACTTTGCATATGTAATACCAGGTTGTTTGCCATTAAACTTAATTTCTAAATCATTTATATGACTTAATGACTCTGCATGAAATTTTTAAGCTGCTAGAAAGATGAATAGTACCATAGAGAGAATGCAGAGGAGTACAGTGTCG